GGGGGGGGGGTCCAAGGGCTTTTGCAATGGGCTAAGCTCCCCAGCCCTTTCTTTTTCTGATTTTGAGGCAAGACCTCATCAACTCACCCCACTGGACTTGAACATGTGGTCCTCCTGCCTCAGCCTCCTGAGTACTTCAATTACTGTATGACCATTTGCTACTGCACACAGCAGTTGATAGTTTTCTTGGTGACCTGGGCATGATGACACATGTCTATACTAGGGAGACTGAAGCAGAAGATTGCCATGAGTTCAAGGCCAGCCAGGACTACATAGCAACACTCTGTCTCAATAATAATAATAATAGTAGTAGTAGTAGTAGTAGTAGTAGTAGTAGTAATAGTAATAATAGCCAACAAGATAGCTCAGTGGACTAAGCACCTGCCCAGGCAAGCACAGAGACCCGGGTTCAATCCCTGGCACCCCAGGCACGCTGAGCCAGCAACTGAGACCCCACAGTGTGGTGGTGCACACCTCTAATCTCAGCGCCTGAGAGCCTAAAAATAGAGGATCACTATAAGTCTGAGCTCTGTAGTGAGACCCCGGACCAAATAATAACTCTTTTTCTTCGTGCTGGCATGGAAACCAGGGCCATGCACTTACAAACTTCTTCTCTTCTCTCTCTCTCTCTCTCTCTCTCTCTCTCTCTCTCTCCCTCTCTCTCTGTTGATACCAGGCTTTGCTTTGTAACTCAGGCTGGCCTAAAACTCAAAGCAATCCTCCTGCCTCAGCCTCAGCCTCAGAAGTCTTGGGATTGCTGATGTGGACCTCAAGGCCTGCTTTATATGTACTTTGAGAAATGGGTGAGACCTGAGAGGGCCTCTCGTGAAGAAAGAACTGGGAATCCCGTGAAAAGTTCGGCAGCACAGTCGGCGTGGAGGGCCGCAGGGCTGGCTCCCTGAAGGAGGCGCCTCGCCTTCAGCTCGCAGCTGGCTAGGAACGCTCGTGCCCTCCGCGGGCTCTGGCGAGCAGAAGGAAGAGCCAGGCAGAGCGGCGGCCGCGGCGGAGGAGGCACAGCCGTGCAGTCCGTGCGGCCAGCGCTAGGGCTGCGGCCCCGCCCAAGACTCCTCCTCCTAGGCGCTAAATGTGAGCGAGGCCAAGAGACGCCCCGCAGAGACTGGGATTGAGCCTCGGAAAACCAGTGGTAAGGCCCAGGAGATAGTTCAGCGGCTTAAGTGCCTGCCTAGCAAGCACAACGTCCTGAGTTCAATTCCTGCTTTAAAAAAAAAAATTGAACTGTGGCAAAAAAAAAAAAAAAAAAAGCAGTGATGTCTCAGAGCACGTAACAGCTGGCCTCAGAGATCAAGCAACTGACACGAGGTACTTTCTCAGATGGTGTCCCCAGACCCCTCCGGGCAGAGGGCTACCGAGCCTGTACTCCTCCTGCAGACCTGTCCGCACACAGCAGAGGTGATGTGGGGCCTCCAGCCTGGCCCAGCTCACAGCGCCCGCGCGTCCTGCCTTCTCACAGTCACTCCACCCGAGCAAAGCCTCTCTTCACGAAGTAATAAAACCTGGTCTGGGCTCGATGGAGTCCTTGACTCAGACCAGCCACCGTCCCGACTAGACTGAGAACCCCCCCCCCGACCCCCGAGCTGTGCACACGTCTGTCTTCTTTCTGTCTGTGGGCTGCGCTGGCCGCGGGGGATTGAAATCTATTCGTGCGTGTTTCCCGGCGATTACAGCAGATGGACTCCGGGCCAGGGCACTTACAAATCAGAGGGGAAGCCAGCGGAAAGTAAGGTGCCCTTCTGCCCGTCCATGAGACTGCTCAAAGCTCCAGCCCTTCAAGCGGGGGCTGAGAATCGCGGTGTCCCGCGACCCGATGACCCCACAGAGCCTGAACGCAAGTGTCCCTCGCGTGCACCCGCGCAGCTGCGAGCAAGAGCGGACAGCTGCGCGCGTGCACTTGGAAGCGGCGTCAGACTGAGTCCCCGGCGTGGCCAGAGCCCACAGCCAGAAAGAAAAGCTGCGCTGGGGAGCACACCCCGGCTTTCTTCCTTCCAGGGAGACGCTGAGCGGGCGGAGGATGGGGCCCACTGTGCTGAAAGCGCTGTGCTTTGCAGGCCTGGCTGGGACTCTGCGCCGTGATCCAGGCCTTCTAAAATTTTCCTTTTGGGGCTGGGGAGATGGCTTATTGGAATAAACGCTTCCTTGGCAAGCGCAAGGGCCTGAGTTCAATCCCCAGTTCCGGGGGAAAAAAAAAAAAAAAAGACTAAACTTTTCCCTTTATTTTCAGATAGGCTGTTTCTAGGTCACTGAGTCGCCCAGCAGAACTCGAACTTGCAGTCCACCTGCATCAGCCTCCAAGAATGCTGGGGTCACAGATTTTAAAATCTAAATCTGTTCTAACAGGGGATTGAACTCAGACCCTTGCACTTGCCAGGGAAGCGCTTATTCTACTGAGCCATCTCCCCAACCCCCCTAAATCTGTTCTTGCAGCTCTTCATTCCTTACCGATAGCCGATGAATAGTTCATTAAAATTAAAATGCCAGCGCTTCCGCAATGCTGTGGGGCCTCTCTTGGGAAGCTGGGGAAGTTACCGAGGCACAGAAAGCTCAGGTGACCCACAGGTTTGCACAGTGACCAGAGAGAAACGGACGTGTGCGTGCGTGCTTGCGTGTAAGGTTTTGAATGTACACTGTGCCCTCAGGACCCTCCTCTGTGCGCGTGGGTCAGGGCTGGTAGGCGCGGGCTTCTGGGCACAAAGGACATAACCAGAAGTTTTGTGGGCTGGCAGTGACTGTGAAACAATGTACAGAACTGTGTGGAATCCAGGTCAAGTGGAAGGGATGGGGTTTGAGGAGTCCTGGGCAGGAGAATAAGGCCTCAAGGCTGATCTAGGAGACTGAGGCAGGTTGACCACAACCTTAAGTGGGGTCTGGGCAATTTAGCAACTTAGCAAGATATTGTCTTAAAATTAAAAAAGAAAGTGTACAGGCCCAGAATTCCAATAAAAAAGGCTCCTGGTGGGCCTGGGCATTGCTGGGTGAATAGGAGTTCTCCGGGTAGAGATGGTTAAGGATGCAAGTCACACAGGCTTAGAAGGGGGAATTCGCGCAGAGAGGGGGCGCAGGGGTAGGGAGGCACGGCGGGCGGGACTGGGCCTGGATCCGCCCCGCGCGTCACCGTCACCCGCGTCGGCGCTGTCCGCTCCCCGGTGCTGACCAAGATGGCAGGCGGCGCCCTAGCTCCGGCGAGCACAGAGCTGTCCCGGCCGTGCGGCCGCTGAGCCACAGCCATGTCGCTGCTGTGTGTGGGAGGTAGGGCCAGGCAGGGCGGGCGGGGGGGCGGTGGACGCGGCGGGTCCTGCGTGGGGTCCGGGCGGACGCGGGTGATGCGGGCTGGGTGGGAAGGCTGGCGGCCAGCGCGCGTGGCCCGGGTACCGTGGCCAGGAGGCCGAGGCAGCGGGGTCTCCGGCCGGGCAAAACCGGGTCCGGCAGCCGCACCCACGGCGTGGTGCGGGACACAGTCCCGGGCCGGCGCCATCAGCAGGACCTCGGAGCGGCGGGTGGGGAGGTCGTGCCCCTGCAGCGCGGGAGACCCCGCCGTTCGGCCTAGGTGGGCGGGGGCCCAGTCCCTGGCGCGTGCGTGGAGCCGCCCCTCCCCCCTCCATTCACAAACCGCCGGCTCCGTGCGGTGTGGCGTGGACTCGGGGCTCTTAAAGGGATAGCGTCCCTTTCCTGAGAGGGGCGCGGCAAGGGCTGGAGCCGATAGCAAACCCCCAGCAAGGCTGTGCGACCACCGGGACAGCGCGGGGCCACAGAGCCCACGCGTCCGGGAAGGCCAGGCCAAGGAGGGAGTGGGTGGCGGGGCGGCCACGGAGGCGACGCGGGGCTCCAGGTGCCTCCTCCGCACTGGCCAAGCCAGGTTCTAGGAAGGCTGGGGTCGCACCCTGGCTCTGACGCACGCAGCGGGAGGTGTGAGGTTGGGGTGACGTGAGCGGGAGGCGGGGAGGGGGAGGGGCGCCATGGTGGGGGCTGAGAAGGGCTCCCGTGGGATCCCAGCGCTGTCCCAAGTTAAAGCAAGACCGGCCCTCCACCCGCTCAGGAACCTGCCTCCGTGTCCCCTCTACATTCGCACCTGGACTCCCCCCTTGGGGAGCAAGATAGGGGCGCCCCGGTGTGCAGGAGCCGGGAACATGGCACAGGACCAGCCCCGAGGCCCGAGGACCCCCGGCGCTTCTCTGGGGGCACCCACACACAACTGTGCCCTTGCCAGAGAAAGCTCCGCACATCGAGGTCTCACGTCCTCTCCCGGAGGCTAAGGCAGGAGAGTCAGAAGTTCGAGCCTACGCTGGGCAACTGAGTGGTTGACTTTGCAAGGCTGTCTCCAAATGAAAAAGAGGGTTGGGGATGTAGATGTGCCTCAGTTTGAAGGCCATGGTCAAAATTAGCCTCAAAAGAACAAAACAAAAAACAAAAAGGAAACTTCATGAGCTGACACTTAGATATGGACCAAGAAGGTCCAGCTGTCCGAACACAGGAGGTCGCGCCCAGCTCAGGGAGCCCATGTCCCGGACAGCAGCCCCTCTGGACAGGGGCCGATGATGCACACAAACACACGTGTCCAGTGTGCAAAAACACAGGCCAAGCGACTGCGCACACGCACACACAACGGGCTCGCAGTGCAGGGCTCACCCACACGCACTACTGTGCGTGGCCCTCTACACACACCCACACATGCACATGTCTGCCTTGATTACCCAGAATCCAAGCAGGCTCAGGAAACAAAAGGGAGATTGCCTTGATCCAGCCTTGGCTCGTGCTATTTCTTTTCAAGGACTGGGGATTGAACCCAATTCCTCAGAACTGAGATCCATCCCACCCTTTTCTATTTTTTATCTGGAGATGGTGTCACTAAGCTGCTTAGGCTGGGCTGGAGCTAGCAACCCTCCTGCCTCAGCGCCCCCATAGTGCTGTATCACAGATATGCACCAAGGGACCTGCCCTGCCTACTGTCTTCAAGACCCCATAAATCCTGAAGAATGAGGAAGGTGCAAGCCATGAATGCGTGTGAAGTTGACTTGTCACACAACTGATGATGTCACTAACAAGCTCCACAGCCCCAGCTGTTATCCCCACCATAGCCCCATTTTACAGATGAGAAAAGCTGAGGCCCAGAGAAGTGTCTATCTGGCCAGTGTAGCTGAGGCCCAGAGAAGTGTCTATCTGGCCAGTGTCTCATAACAAGCGTGGTTGGCGCTGGTCGACTCCACAGCTTGCCTGCCCATCCCTGGTTTCCCAGGGGGACTCTCCTTGCCCCTCCACGTGGCATCAGAGAGGGCACCCTGAACCTGGCACTTCTGGAGCTCTCCCAGGCTGCTGCCTGCCTGCATAGCCTGGCTGGCTGGAGTGTGTGTATGTCGGGAAATCGATGCCGGTGTTTTTATTAATGGAGATCACGAGTTTTCCCAAGAGCTGCCGCGTCCTCAGCCCTGACCTGGGCTCCAGGCCGGGTCTCGGGCGCTGACCGAGTTCTGGGTCACCCGGGAGGGCGGGGCGCTCTGCCCTGCGGTTTAATAAGCAGCTACTACGGCCCCCGCACCCAAGTAGCTCCTGGCCAGTGCAACCTGGGCGAGGCCGGCCCACCGACGGGATGGCGCGGTCCCTTTCATTAAACTCAGGTCTTTCCCCGCGTCCAGCCAGAAGCGCTTGGAACCCAGCCAGGCGATAAAGCCCCACCCAAGTAATCGCGAGACCCGGTCACTGGGGCTGCGATAGTGCCTGGGGGGCGGGGGAGGTTGAGGAGACCGGCCGCCAGTGCCGCCACCCAGCGCGCGGGGAAAGCTTGCCGCGCCTGCCTGCCGCAGGACAGGGCACACGTCTACACCGCCCTCGGCCGCGTTATAAATAGCTCGCGTGTGACTGGAGCGAAGGCGGCGCTTCCGCCGCTGACCTGATGTCGCCACCGCGCGCGGGATGTGACGAGGAGGCGGCGACTCGGGGGGACCCTTTGCTGCCCGGGCAAGGCCGAGGGGGGCGCAAGCCGGCACCTCCCTGCCGCCGCGACTCCGGAGGACACTGCAAGGCCCTGTGGAGCCCCCAGGCCCTCTGAAGCCCCCGCAGCAAGTGACATGAGGGTCGCTGCTGTCCTTGCCATATGAGCAGCAGGCACTCGGGCGTACAGCCCCCAAGGATCCTGCTCAGAGGGCCCCTGGGGGTAACAGACTTAGGGAGGGAGGGGGAGAGACAGACAGAGACAGAATGGGAGAAACAGGCAGAGGAAACAGATGCAATAGGAGACCAGAGACCCTGGGAGGAGGCTGGGGGACAGAGACAGACAGACAGAGCCAAAGACATAGAGTCCCCAAAGAGCCATTGGGCTCCCTCTGGCCTGGTCCAAGATGTATCTGGGTAGCGCCCGGCGCAGGCTGGATCCCCAACCCTGGTAGCCCCAGGTTCAGGGCAGTGCTTGGAGTGGGTGTAGGGACTGATTTCAGGTGAGAGAGAGGTGACATGGGGACACACGGATGGACAGACAGAGAGAGCAGCAGAAGAAAACGACCAGATACAGGAAAACAGGAACAGGGTGATAGAGGGGTCAGAGGGCTCAAGGCCCTGTCACAGTGTGGCTGGGACCCAGCTTTCGGTCTCCACGCCTACCTCCCAGCACAAAAACACACAGAGTAGGCGGATACTGGTTCCTTCGTGTTAAGTGTGGGCTACTCCACTGGGGAAGCTGGCGTTGGCATAGGAGCGCAATGTTCCCACTTCTACAATGGGAAGGAGCTGTTCTTCTGGGGTTCTGTCTCCCCTGGCTCTGTTGAGCTGTGCTTGTGAGGCAGAAACTGAAGGGACAAGAGGGACACAGCACAGCACAGAAGGCGGTGGCATTTGTCCCTAGAAACAGTTGTGTTTCTAGGACTACACCCTCTGCTCACTCCTGCACGGAAAGCGGAGGGTTCAGGATGGTGAGCGCAGGATGCTGCTCTCTGCACAGGAAGTAAAATAGCACAGTGTGCGGTGCTCAGATGCGCAGACTACTTCAGGTACCGCCAGAACCGGTTCTGCTGAGCACCTGGAAGGGAAGAAGGCGGGGAGCGGGGGGCAGAGCTAGGGTAGCTTTGCAGGTGCTGGGGTCAAAGCTGGGCCTTTGTACTGAGGTACAGCCAACCTCCTTTTTCTGAATTTTGAGGCAGGGTCTTACTAAACTGCCTAAGTCGCTGATTTGCCAAATGGCCATCCTGGGGTGCTGGGATGACAGGCACTCAGCACTGTGCCTGACTTCAGTGCAGCAGTTACTGTGGGTTTGGTACAACTTGCATGTCCTGCCTTCAGAAGCAGAGAAATGATTGTCAGAAAGAAAGAGGAAGCGAAAAGAAGAAAAGAAGGGTGTGGGAAGCAGGCCATGAGCCCGCACTGTGGAAGCAGGAGGGTAATGAGTTTACCCCTGCTGGGCAATTTAGCACCTGAGGGAGACCCTCAAGCAAAAATAAGCAAAATAAAAATGCTAAAAGGGGGTGAAGATGTAGTTCAGTGCAAAGGCCCTGGTTCGATCCCCAGTACCAGAAGAGAGGCCCTCGTGAATCACATGTGAGTGAGCTACGAAGGAGGCGCCAGCAAGGCAAAGATGTTCCACAGCTGGCCTGGCCTGGGCAGCCCTGCTCCAGGGCTCTGGGCACTGCAGGGCTGGTTACTGCACAGCCAGCCTGAGGAGCCCTGGGCTCCGCTTGGGCCAGCCTGCCCCAGGCAAAGTGAGGGATGGCTTCTAAGTGCCATAGCCTGGGCCAGCTCTCTCGCTTATTCTGTCCAGGGTCACCCAGCACCCCTGCCTTTGAGTTGTGCGCTGAAAACCCAGAAGCATCTGGGGAGACAGAACTGGACAGTTAGGGAAGAGGTGCATGAGCCTGGCAGGGACCTGAGAGGGGTTCTCCTTGCAGCTTCCCTCTGCCTCCTCCACTGGGCCCTGTAGAGGGCTTCCCAAGGGAGGCCCCTCCTGACACTTCCCAGCTCTTTTTTTTTTTTTTTTTAATTTTGCATCAAGGTCTTGCATTGAGTTGCCTGCCCTGGGCTCAGAATTGCAATCCTCCTGCCTCAGCCTACCAGAGTGCTGGAATGACAGGCACTGCCATGCCTGGCTCAGATCTTTGTTTGAATCTTGTTCGATCAGGGCTGAAGGCACTGCTGCAGAGTCAGATGGGGATGGTGTGGGAGGAGGCTGCTTCTAGTTGGATTTCCTTCTGCTCCGGGGAGCCTGGCTGTCTGTCTGATGCTCTCTTTCTCTCTCATCCCTACCTCCTCCTCTTCCTCCTCCTCCTCCTCCTCCTCTTCCTCCTCATTCTCCTCCTCTGTGTCTGTCTCTTTACCTTGTTCTGTTTTCCCTGCCTGGTCTCTCCATACTCATGCTCACTGTCTTTGGTTCTCTCTTCTGTGTCTGTCTCATTCTGTCTCCCTGTCTTTCTCTCTCTCCTGTCTCTATTTCTCCATCTCTGTCTCCCGTGTCTTTGCATGTCTCTGTCTCTCTCTGTGTCCCTCTCCACGTCCCCATGTCTGTCTCTCCTTCTCCTCCTATCTCCCATTTCCCTTCCCTATTTCCGTCTCTCCACAGTCAAAAAAGCCAAGTTTGACGGTGCCCAAGGTAAGTACTTGCCTGCTGTCCCATGTCTGTCCGTCCTCTGTCCGCCTGTCCACTGTCTCTGGAGAGTGGGGAGGTCTCTGGGCTGAGGCTTAGATTGGCCTCTCCATTCGAGGAGCACTGGGTCCAGGGTCAGGGGGCGTACCAGAACAGTTACAGGGGCCGGGGAGATAGCTCAGTAGAATAAGCACTTGCCTGGCAAGAGCAAGGGCCTGAGTTCAATCCCCCGTTACGCAAAAAAAAAAGAAAGAAAAAGAAAAAGAAAAGAAAGAATAGTTACAGATGGGGAAACTGAGGCCCAGGATGAAGGGGAGCATCTCAGAGTTGGGTCTGCACAGCGGCCTGGTCTGTGTGTCGGTCTGCGTCGGGCCCACGCAGGCTTTGCTGGGCTCCGAGGCAGCGTCCAGGGCGACCCCTGTGAGAAGATAGGACAGCGGGCTTCACCCAGACTTTGGGAAGGGCTGTCAGGGTTCCCGAGCCCCTCGTCGACCCCTGCTCTCGCTGCCACAGAGAAATTCAACACCTACGTGACCCTGAAGGTGCAGAATGTCAAGAGCACGACCATCGCCGTGCGCGGCAGCCAGCCCAGCTGGGAACAGGACTTCATGTTGTGAGTTTGCGCCGCAGCCCCCGCCCTCCCCTCCGTGTCCACCCCCACGTCCCTAGGCCTTGCCCCTTCCAGCCATTGCCCCGCCCCGCCACAGGGCTCCTCCCTGATAACCACGCCCATAGAGACCACGCCCCACTGTGGCCACGCCCCGTACCTCGGCCACGCCCGCCCTGCCCCCACTCAGCGGTTCCCTCCAAGTCAGCTGCCCTGGGCGTCACCGGTCTCTACCTCCCCCGCACCGCCAGCCTCCACCGAACTTGCTGCCGCCGCCTGCCTCGCACAATCTGCTCTCCTGGACAGCGCGGCCCGGAGATATTTTTAATACTGTAGATCACATCCTGACCGTCCCTTCCAAACCCGTCCTGCTGAGGCGGCTGGGAACCGTCGGTCCTGGCGCTGCCCTGGGGCCTTTGCTCCCTCGCAGTCCGGCACATTGTCGCTCTGTGATTCTGCACGGGAGCCGAGAGAGGCTGCCCGCCCCTCGCTGCTGCTCTCGGCCTGTTGCTCTGTGCCGCTCTGAGCTGGTCATGGCCTCCCTGGCCTGGGTTTCTTCTCTGTGGGATGAAAATGCCAGGCTCCTTCCCTCGGGGCCTCAAAGCCCGAGTCTGAATGGAGGACCTGACCTTCTGAGCCCCCTCTCCTGCTCCTCTCCGCAGCGAGATCAACCGCCTGGACCTGGGGCTAACTGTGGAGGTGTGGAACAAGGGTCTCATCTGGGACACCATGGTGGGCACCGTGTGGATCCCACTGCGGACCATCCGCCAGTCCAATGAGGTGACCACACAAGAGAGACATCTGGGGCTGGCACTGTGTAACTTCAAGATCACCAGTTCCTTTTTAACTTCTTCCATGCCTTTACTCTGCTCTTCCCACATGTGGCTTCCACCTCCCAAAGTGGCAGCTTAAAGCTAATCATTGCATCTGTATTCCAGCTGGAGAAATGTAGCAAAGGATAGATCTGTGCACAGCACTTCACTGAGTCCAGCAGCTTCTCCTGGCTGCAAGGGATTCTGGGAAATGTAGCTTTAAATCATGCTGCCTGAGCCCAGCTAGAATTTATATTACAGAACTGTGGAATAAAATAAGGAAAGGGTTACATGCCCATGGTGGGCAGCAGGAGGGAGGAAGTTGCCAACAACAGGCAGGGGAGGGGCTCTGTGTGTGTGTGTGTGTGTCCTTCTCAATGTCCCCTCGGCCCATCCTTGCCTTATCCTCCTGGCAGGATCTTCCTGCTATGAAGCTCTGCCCAGGCCTCCCTGTCCCCTCTTCAGAGCCTCAGTTTCTCTATCTGTAGATGGGGCTATGAGCCAGGCTGTGGCTATGGATGACATGGGCAGGGAACACCCAGCTGACCTGGGCACATCCCTGCCACATAGGAGGGCCCCGGAGAGTGGCTGACATTGGACTCCCAGGTCATCATGGCTGACAGCGAGATCTGTGGCACCAAAGACCCCACCTTCCACCGCATCCTGCTGGACACACGCTTTGAGCTGCCCCTGGGTGAGCTGCCAGGGACCTGCACCTGGAATGACCCAGCTGCACGGGACCCTGGGGTGGCTCTGCCTGCAGGGACAGAGAGAGCCAGAGCAAAGCACACCTGTCACCTTAGCGGGCTGGGCAGCTGAGGCAGGAGGCTCACATGCCTAGCCCAGCCTGGGCAGCCTACTGCGTGTTGTCTCAGAGTAAAAAAGGGAAGAAAGGGCTGAGGATGTGGCTCCATGTGGAGATGGGCTCAACCCCAGGACTGCAAATAAATAATCATAACAGGCCTTGAGGTGGATGGGGATGAGCCCGCCCTTTGGCTCCTGCCTTTTTCAGCGTTAAGGGTGGATCCCAGGGTCTTGACACAGAGCTGGTCCCTTCTTTTCCTTAAGCCCCGACACAGGGTTTGCTGAGTTTCCCAGGCTGGGCTGGACCTTGTGACCCTCCTGCCTAGCACCTGGGGGGATCTTGTCTCTAAGGGGTTCCCACAGCTGGGCAGTGGTGGTGGCGATCAGGGACGCAGGCAGCATGGTCAGCACACTGGTTCTGTCCATAGACATTCCCGAGGAGGAGGCACGCTACTGGGCCAAGAAACTGGAGCAGCTGAATGCCATGCGTGACCAGGACGAGGTATGTGGGGCACAGTGCCACCCCATTGCTCTCCCCACCACAGACACCCCGGCACCCCATCCCTACCCATCCCCCCGCCCTCCCTTCTCTTGCCCAACCTGGGCTGGACGGAGCTGGTGGCTCCAACCCTGAGCCTCTGCCCCCGCCTGCAGTACTCGTTCCCAGATGAGCAGGAGAAGCCGCTGCCGGTGCCCAGTAGCCAGTGCTGTAAGTGTCCCGCCCTGTCCCTGGTGTCCCCTACAGAGCCCCGGTGCTTCTGGCCCTGCCTTGCTTACATAGGAGTCCCGAAGGAGATCTAGAAGTCCTTCAACGAACCTTGCCCAGCGCTGCACAGGGCCCAAGCATCTTGCCAGCAGTGCTGGTCCAGGGATAGCTGTCTGATGGGTGATGACTGCTTCCTGTGCCCGTTTTGCTAGAGGAAGAAAGCAGGACAAGAGGAGAGGAGAAGGGGCATGTTCAGAGCCACCTGCTGGCAGGTGGCAGAGCCGGGCGGGAGGAGTGTGGGTCAGCCCTCTTCCCAAGACTCCAAGCTGTCCTCCCTTAGCACTCCCTCACCATGTGGCCCAGTCTGGCCTCGAACTCTTGCACTCAAGCAATCCTCCTTCCTCAGCCTCTTGAGTGCAGGAGAGCCTTTGGGAATTAATCCATGGAGACCCAGCCCTGGGGTGTCCTGAGGCTTGGGGGCCAGGCTGACCAGGAGGTCAGAGGCAGGGTATCCCAGAATCCTCCATCCTCAGGGGTCATCGAGGGGGATGGAGAAACTGAGGCAGCAGCAAGCCCCACCCCCATCACCTCCACCTTCTCTTGTAGGCAACTGGAATTACTTCGGCTGGGGCGAACAGAGTAAGTCGTAGCCACTGCCATGTCCTGGGGACTGGGAAACTCACACACAAGAACCTGGGGTTCAGAGGGCAACGATACTCTCCCCATAACCCCCCTCTCACTGCTGGTCCTGTGGGGGCGGCACCGTGGGGGCGCACAGGACCCAGATGTGGCTTTGCCTTGTGTCCCACGGCCTCCCCTAGACTAGAAGGCCCAGCCAGCATGAGCAGCCCACAGGGACTCTCTTCCTCTCATCGTCCCTCCTTCCTTCACTTCCCTGGGCTGGAGATTGAACCCAGGATCTGCACACCCAGCTCCATCTCCAGGGCCTTTTTAATTTTCATTTTGAGACGGTCTCACTGAGTCCCTCCATTTCCCATGCTTGTGATCCTCCTGCCTCAGCTTCCCAAGGTGCTGGGAAGACAGGTGTGCACCACCACACCCTGCTGAAATTGGCTTCTTTTTTGCGGGGAGGGCAAGGCTCTACAGGGTGTTTAGGGCCTCACTACTAGATCAGACTCACAGTGATCTGCCTGTTTACAGCCTCCCAAGAGCTGGGATTACGGGCACGCACCACCACACCTAGACTTAATTGCCATCTGAGCGCATCCCAGCAGTGGGGCCAGCAAGGCTGGCCGGCAAGGCAGGCCCTGCTATCGAACCTCTGGCCCTGCTCCTGCTTGCAGGCACTTTAATCCACTGAGCTATTTGGCCAGCCCTGAAATTCACTTCTTAATAATTGACCACCTACGATAGGTCTGAAAGAATCAGACCTTTAGCCAGATGACATGGTGCATGCCTGGCACTTGAGAGGCTGAGGCAGGAGGATCATCATGAAGTCTGGGCAAGCCTAGGAAAAACAACAGCAAAAAAGAAATGTAAGAATTTAGCTTAAAAAGACTTAGAAGTTGCTGAAAGGAACAAATAAGAAAGTATGTGACCTCTTCCCAGATGTCACTTTTTGTTTTGTTTGTTTCAAGGTGTTTTGTTTTATTGAGACCAGGTCTCACTGTGATCCCCAGGCTAGTCTCCAACCTGGGATCCTCCTGCCTCAGCCTCCTGAGTAGCTGGGATTACAGGCGTGTGCCACTATGCCCAGAACATGTTGCTTTTAGAATTAGATTTTTTTTTCAGAGTTTAGAAAATAAACTGTTTTGGTTTTACTAGAGAGTCCAACCCAAAGCAAAACATGCTTCTACTCTTGTCACTGTGGGTCTGGCGACGGCCCACCCAGGCCTGTGCAGTGTGTGTGGAGGCCGCCCGAGAATCAAGCCCTCCTCGATGGGGATGTCCTCTGTCTCCACAGCTTCTTTGCTCTTCACCTGCAGGCTTGGGCCTGGGCCCTCACAAGTGCACATCGCACCCTCTGTCCCCACCATGTCCCTGAGTGCCCCACTGATGGGAAACACACTGCCTGGCAGAACAAACCCTACCTTGATTTTTCTGACAGCCTGCATATAGGTAGGACTCACCCTCCTGTGGAACTGAAGCTCTGTGTCCTTCTAACATCTGAACTATCCTAGCCCAGACTTAGATCCAGTTTGACCCAGAAGACGCCAGACAAGGTTTCCACCTCCCATGTTCTGAGACCTATATCTCTGTTAACCAGACCCACAGTCTTCCAAGCACTGTGTACAAGCACCTCTCTCTGGGCTGGTAGTCCCTCACCTTGTCCCACCCCTCTTCCATCTTCCAGATGATGACCCCGACAGTGCAGTGGACGACCGGGACAGTGATTATCGCAGCGAGACAAGCAACAGCATCCCGCCGCCCTACTACACCACCTCACAGCCCAACGCCTCTGTACACCAGTACTCTGTCCGCCCACCGCCCCTGGGCTCTCGTGAGTCCTACAGTGACTCCATGCAGAGCTACGAGGAGTTCTCCGAGCCGCGGGCACTCAGGTAGCTGGCTCCCCAGGGGCACATGGGGAGCCACGTGAAGCCCTTGCCTCACCCAAATGCTTGCAACAACAGTTGCGGAAGCTTGACTAGAAGGCTGAGTCTGGAGGATCTCAAGTTCCACCCAGCCTGAGCGACTCAGTCTCAGAATAAAAAGTCAGAAAGGACTAAGGCTGCAGCTCAATACAGAGGGAAGTTCTGGAAGCTGTGGCCACTTGATGGAAGGGGCCACCAGGCCGCTGGCCCTGCCAGCAGCCTGACCCACTGGCCCTGGCTTCTGAACAGAAGCCAACAAACCAGGAGTGGAGCTGGGGGCCTTTGCACTGGGCTACACCCCAGTCCCTCTTTCTGTTGTTGTTTTGTTTCTTTTCAGACAGGCTCTTGCTTTGTCGGCCAGGCTGTCCTGGAATTTGCAGCAATCCTCTGCCCCAGTCTCCATGGTGCTGGGATTACAGGACTGCGGTACATCCCCAGGCCTTTTTAAAAATTTTTTAAATTTTGAGTTAGGGTCTTTTCATGTCTAAGCTCCCCAAGCTGGGTGAGCTCAAACTTTTGATCCTCCTGCCTCAGCCTCCCAGCATGCTAGACAAAGGCAAGGGCTGCCAGGCTTGGCTAAAGGTCAAGACTGTGGCATGGGATTGTATTTCTCACGCATGAGATTCATGGAGTACGTTCACACTACAACATTCTTTCTACTGAAGCAAGAGTAAGGGATCCATGTAACTCTGGCCACCATAGCACATGACTATAATCCAACCTGCCTGGGAGGCTGAGGCAGGAGGATCACGGTTTGAGCCCCACTTTGGTCACTTAGCAAGATGCAGATTGTCTCCTAGTGCCTTGGACAGAACCCAGTACAGTAGGTACCCAGTCTGAGTAAGCAGAAACCTGGGCACTGGGACACAGCTGACCTGGGCCCCTTCGTTCCCACAGCCCCACAGGCAGCAGCCGCTATGCGTCATCGGGTGAGCTGAGCCGTGGCAGCTCCCAGCTGAGCGAGGATTTTGACCCAGATGAGCAGAGCCTGCAGGGCTCAGAGCTGGAGGACGAGCGCGACCGCGACTCATACCACTCATGCCACAGCTCCGTGAGCTACCAGCAGGACTCGCCGCGCTGGGACCAGGATGCCGAGGAGCTGGACGAGGACCTGGAGGAGGACCTGGAGGAGGATCTGGAGGAGGATCTGGAGGAGGAGGAGCTGGAGGAGGAGGAGCTAGAGGACGAGGAGCTGGAGGAGGAGGAGCCTGTGCCAGATGACCTGGCCAGTTATACCCCGTGCGAGGAGCCAGCAGTGGCCGAACCCAAGGACTTCAAACGCGTGAGCCTCCCTCCGGCGGTCACAGAGAAGGAGGACACGGGCCCGGCCCTGCCCAGCGAGGGCTCTGACCTGGCCAAGGTGGCCCCCAAGCCGGCCACACCCGAGGAGACACCTGAGCCCGAGCCCCCCAAGGCAGAGGAAAGGTAGTGGCTGGGGCTGGCGCCAGTCACCACGGGGACGCCAGGCCCGGCAGCCTTGGGGCCGTCATACCCAGGGCGCTGCGCTCCTGCTGGTGGGGGACAGGGTTTACTTGGGGTCATGCAGCAGGGATCTGGGAGGCTGTGAGTCTCTGTAGGACCCAGGAACGGGATCCTTAGGGCCCAAAAGGTCCAGGACTGCAGGAAAGGGTACCGGGGCCATGAGGGTCAGGGGCAATGCAGTGGGCAAGGTGCGGATGCGGGCAGTCAGTGACGGTGCAGGGCTCGGTGCAGCGAGGTAGGGCTGTGAAGAGCTGCCGTGTAGCTCACGACGCCCTCTGCCTTAGTTTCAGGCCCCGAGAGGATGAACAAGGTCAGGAAGGCCAGGACTCCATGTCCAGAGCAAAGGCCAACTGGCTGCGCGCCTTCAACAAGGTGCGGATGCAGCTGCAGGAGGTGAGTGAGGGCCCCGCCCCCAACAGAGTGCCACGCCCAACGCACCGCCCATACCTGTGACCGCCCAGTCCCCCCATAGTCGCTACAGATGGGCCAGGCCCAGCACTCCGCCCACACCTGTCAGCCATGCCCAGTATCCCACCCATTCACAATCACACAACACCCAAAACCACACCCACACTATTAACCGTACCCACTGACCGGCCCTACCAGTTTTGCCCACATTCACTGCCCCATCTGCACCCACTTTGGCCATGCCCAATATCCACCCATGCCCCACCGTGACTGCACCGCCCACACTTCCGCTGACCTGTGGCCAGGTAAAGAAAGCGGTCAGAGCTGACACCTCTCTGGCTCCCCTGCACTCAGCCCCACCCCACCGCCTCACAGCCTCTCTCAGGGTCAAGAAGAAGGAGAGGAGGACAGCACCGGACAAAGGCTAAGGTTGTGGCTACAGCCACATCCAGGTCAAATTCAAGGTCAAGGCCTCACCTCGGTCTACACAGAGACTAAGTGCTAAGCAGAGGCTGGTGGAGTACATAAGGTGGCAGGGTGCACAGGCTGGTGACAAGCTGTACAAAGGCCCTGGGGCACCTGGGTAGCAAAGGGGGGGAGGCTGTAAGGAGTCAAGAAAAGGAAATGATAGAATCTTCTGTTTGACCAGAGAAAATTTAACCCCTATGTCCCCTAAGACTGTGGAGCTCTTGTGGGCAACTATGCTTTGCTTTTTTTTTTTTTTTTTTTTTTTTTTTTTTTTTTTTTGGTGGAACCGGGGATTGAACTCAGGCCAGGCAAGCGCTTATTCTACTGAGCCATCTCCCCGGTCCCTAATCAACAGTGCTGATTAACTCCTAGGCTTGGCAGGATGCTGAGGGAGGGGCATGATGGAGAGGAACCCATTTCACACATGACAAGCCCCAGAACAGACTGGGAATCTGTACAAAGAACACATAGTGGGAAGAGAAAAAATGGGAGGGACGGCCACACTGACTGTTTGTCTGTCCATCCCACAGGCCCGGGGAGAAGGAGAGATGTCCAAGTCCCTGTGGTTCAAGGGCGGGTGAGTGTTGTAGCTGAGGCCTCAGCAGGATGGCTCCCGACCCGAGCCTGATTTGCAGCTGGGGCTCAGCCTAGCTGAGTTGGAAGTGGCCCCATTTAGAAAGGAGTGAGTCTTTGTTGTTTTGAGATGGGATCTTGCTATGTTGCCCAGGTTGATCTTGAACTCTTGGGTTCAAGGAATCCTCCTGCCTCAGCTTCCTCAGTAGCCAGGACTGCAGGCACATGGTGCCACATCCAGCAGAAATAGGCAAAAGATAAAGCAAAAACCACTCCTCGCACCCTCCCCCACACAACCTGGCAGCCTCTGCTTGCTTTGGTTCTGCTTCTGAATTTCTCAGATTCTCCCTTGGGTCACAGGAGCTTTAATTAACAAGAGTCACAGAGCCTACTGGAGCTTGCTGTCACTGTCAGCCTCTGAGGTGCCTGTTTGAGGGTGGCAGGTGGGGAGGTTGGAAGATGAAGGAGATAATTTTAAGCAACTCTTGTGTTTGGAAATAGCATCAGGACCATGACCTTCTTTACTGCCTCCCTTGCACACAGAATCAGGGACAGGAGGAGCTGTAGCTCCAAAAATAAACGAGGTGGCCCTGGCTGGAGGCTGCATAGAGCAGGAGCACCCCGGCAGGCACGGATCCAAATGGGGAGGTGCACCAGGCAGTTCTGGTCCCTGTTACAGAGAGTGCTGCTGTGTGGACACCCCTGGGGCCTAGGGGAGGTTTTCGGACAGAAGTCGAACCTTGCCGCTGCCTGAGGGACACACTGCCTCTCTCCCTGAAGCAGCTTGGGACCAGGCATGACAGCCTCTGCTGCCTCAGCCACCTGCATGCACCAGCCAAGGCAGGGAGGGACCTTTGGCAAAGGTCTGGGACACAAACACAATTCCAGCTCCTGCCTCGTGAATTCCGACACCACTCCCTCCTGGCAGAACTGCAAGGACACACTTGTGTTTCCAATACCAAGCACAAAGAAAGGCTTCCTTCCAGGCACAGGGACACAGAACTGTCATCTCATCCCTTGAGAAGCTGAGGCAGGAGGAACACAAGTTGGAGCCCACACTTGTCAACTTAGTGAGAGCTTGTCTCAAAATTTTAAAAAGCTGAAGGTGGAGATCAGTGTGAAGGCCCTGGGTTCCATTCCCAGTACTACTACAAAATTTTTGTTTTAAGTCCTTTCTATCCTATCCTAGCATGACATTTGTATTTACCTTACTTCAGTTTTCCATTAAATGTGGACATGTGCACCATTGCCCCATTTCCCAGACGTGAAAGTTGAGTCCTAGGGGTGTCACATGGTGTCACCACCCTGGGCTTATGTAGTGAAGCAGAGGCCAGAACTATGAAGACAGGGTCGGAGACCATGCCTCCTTGGAGCCCACAGGGCACGGTCCTTCCTTGCCTCTCACCAGCTCTGAATGCCTGTGACCCTTGCCGTCCACGCACCTCTGGTCTCCATTGTCCCATTGCTGGCCCCTGGCCATGCCGCTTCATGCGAGGCCACCAGCCACGTGGCGCAGAGACACCCATGGCCGCCGGCCCTCAGCCCTACGTGAGCTGATCACGTCTGCCACACGGCAGCTTTTCTGGTTCCAGCTCCAGCTGAACCTCACAACTGAAAAGCAAGGATCCCAGCTGGCCCCTGGCAATGCGTGTGCTGAGGGCAAGCAGCCCTCACGGCCCCCCATCCCTTGCAGCCCCGGGGGTGGCCTTATCATCATCGACAGCATGCCGGACATCCGCAAGAGGAAGCCCATCCCCCTCGTGAGCGACCTGGTAAGCGTTGCCATGGCAGAAATGGCGGGAAAGCAGTGTGCAGCCTGTGAAACCGCCAGCAGGGGTCCTGGGCTGGGGGCTGGCCGGGCCTCCTCCAGGACTAACTCAGCCTGCTTTCTCTCCTTGTGCTCCACGGATGCTTCAGGCCATGGTGAGTGGTGGTGACCCCGTCCCTGAGGGACTCCAATCCGCTGCTCCCCAGGAGGTCTTCAGATGACCTTGCCTGGGTGCTGGGGAACCTTGCCACGCCCACATCTGGGCTCTTATGATCTGCTGTGTGGCTGGGGCATCAGCTTGGGTGACCCAAGTACATCCGCAGTTGGGAGCACTATTGCCCCCTAACCCGGATCCCTACTGCTCCCCCCTGCTGCGACCTGTAACCTGTGACCGCTCTACCGATGTTGCTCCTACCTGTGGCTGGACGTCTTCGTGACCCTGCCCTAGTCCCTGGTCCAGTCCAGAAAGGCAGGCATCACCTCAGCCCTGGCCTCCAGCACACTGAACAACGAGGAGCTGGTGCGTAGGCTTGGAGGGCCTGGGCTAGGGGAACACAGCCAGGTGCGGGGAGGGAGGAGGCAGGGGAGCCACCCACCTGCCACCCACCTTCCTGCAGAAAAACCACGTTTACAAGAAGACCCTGCAAGCCTTAATCTACCCCATCTCATGCACCACGCCACACAACTTCGAGGTGTGGACGGCCACCACGCCCACCTACTGCTACGAGTGCGAGGGGCTGCTGTGGGGCATAGCACGCCAGGGTATGCGCTGCACCGAGTGTGGCGTCAAGTGCCACGAGAAGTGCCAGGACCTGCTCAACGCTGACTGCCTGCAGCGTGAGTGCGCACCGGGTGGGAGCAGCCAGCAGCCAGGGACCCCTAGGCAGCCAGAGTGAGGCGCGGGCGGGGCCTGCCAAGGGCAGGGGCGGGCCGAGGGGCGGGGCAAGGGCGGAGCCAACAGGAGTGGGGCTCCGGGACTTGTGAGGAGGGACACCTTGGGTAGGCTGAGGGGTGTGGCTGTGGGCGATGGATCGTGGATGTGTGGTTCAATTATTATTGGAAGGATAGGGGAATGGAAGGGTAAGCTGCAGGTAGGTGGGAGGTTGGTATGTGCATAGGTAGATAGGCAGACAGAGGAGACTGGATGCTGGGTTGTGAAGGAGATCGGTGTGGGGATTAAAGAGGAAGAGGAGTGGCGAGGGTCAAAGAGAGGCGTGGCGGCCTTCTTGAGCAGAGGCTTCCTCCTCGTAAAACATCGCGTTAGACTGGGCGGACTCCAGAGGTCCGGCTGGACTCCGAGGGGGCGTGGCTCAGAAAAAGGGCTTCTGAGGACGTGGCTCAGGAGTAATCCTAGTGGGCGGGGCTCAGGCAGATAGACTCCTGGTGGGCGTGGTCTGGAAGGCGGCCCTCAAGGGGCGTGCCTCAGAGATAAGGATCTCCTGGTTGGCGGAGCTTCAAGTGGGCGCGGGCGTGGTGGGCGTGGCCTTAGCTAGGGCTCAGAGGGCGGAGCCGCGCGCGGTACCTGCTAGCTGGGGTCAGCTCTCCCTGGCGGGTGCAGGCATGGCCGCTGTCCCACAGGGGCCGCGGAGAAAAGCTCCAAGCACGGCGCAGAGGACCGCACACAGAACATCATCATGGTGCTCAAGGACCGCATGAAGATCCGGGAGCGTAACAAGCCCGAGATTTTCGAGCTCATCCAGGAGATCTTCGCGGTGACCAAGACGGCGCACACACAGCAGATGAAGGCCGTGAAGCAGAGTGTGCTGGACGGCACGTCCAAGTGGTCAGCCAAGATCAGCATCACGGGTGAGGGCGGCGGTCGCACAGGACGGGGCCCTGGACACAGCTGGTGCAGATGGGAGTCCTGAGTCTGTGCTCTGTCTTCCAGTGGTCTGCGCCCAGGGCCTGCAGGCAAAGGACAAGACGGGGTCCAGCGACCCTTACGTCACTGTTCAGGTTGGGAAGACGAAAAAACGGACGAAAACCATCTATGGAAACCTCAACCCCGTGTGGGAGGAGAATTTCCACTTGTAAGTGCCTGGGTGGGCCCCAAGAGGGGCTCCCACTTGGCCCACACCAGCTGCCTGACTACTGCCTTCGCCCACTCCTCCCTGCACAGTGAATGTCACAACTCCTCCGACCGCATCAAGGTGCGCGTGTGGGACGAAGATGATGACATCAAGTCCCGCGTGAAGCAGAGGTTCAAGAGGGAGTCAGACGACTTCCTGGGGCAGACGATCATCGAGGTGCGGACGCTCAGCGGCGAGATGGACGTGTGGTACAACCTGGGTGAGGCAGGGCGACGTGCAGGGTCGGGGCCTGCAGTGGGGAGAGAAGGGAGCCCTGCTGAAGAAGGGTGCAGTCTCAGGAGGGGCGAAGCAAGACCAGAGCCCAGGACCCCACCTAAGATGACCAGGACCACAGGGTACATTCCGAGCAGAGTCAGGGCCTGAGAGCTAGGGAGAAGCCAGGCCTAGATCTGCTGGGTTAGGGAAGGAGACCCATCCCCGGGGTTAACCAGAGTGAAAAATCAAGGCCTGTCCATCTCCCAGGAGAGAAGGGGTGGGGAATTCTGGCCTAAGGAAGGAAATACAAAGTATAAGAAGCATCTTGAGGAAGAAACACAGCCCTCAATTTCAGGGCACCTGGGAAGCTACAAGGTGATTCAGAAGTTAAAATGGCTCAGTAAATAGACATTAATAATTATGGTAGCACATGTCTGTCATCCCAGCACTCTGGGAGGTTGAGGCAAGTGGATTGCAAGTTTGACTCCAACCTGGGCAATTTAGCAACTTAACAAGACCCTGTCTTAAAATTTTAAGATGACAATGATGGTAATAATGAAGAAGGACTGGGGATGGAGCTCAGTGTGAAAGCCCCCAGGTTCAATTTCTAGTACCAAAAAAAAAAAAAAAAAAAAAGCCAATCAGAGTGAGTAGACTTTCTGACCCATCCATCCCTTTCTGCCTTGCAGACAAGAGGACTGACAAATCAGCCGTGTCAGGTGCCATCCGGCTGCATATCAGCGTGGAGATCAAGGGCGAGGAGAAGGTGGCCCCCTACCATGTCCAGTACACCTGCCTGCATGAGGTGAGCTCCCGAGGCCCCCAGAGCCCTGCTCCCCTCCTCCTCAAAGCCACACTTCACACCTTTGGGACAGTTCCCCACACCATTCCCTCTACCCAGAAAACTCCTCTCCATTCACCAAGGTCCAGCTCCAGGACACCCTCTGGGAAGGTTTCCCAGGCCTCCAGCCTAACTCTCACTAACCAGCTCCACATCCTGCCTTCTGCCCCAGAACTGCATGCTCAGGGTTGGGCCATGATGTCCCCATACTTAGTTTGTTGGGTAGGAATGGGTGCTTGGAGGAGGTAGTGATGAGTGGGTAAGAAAGATGTGGGAGAGGTGGCAAGTGAGTGGATGGGGAGAGAGATGAGTTGGTGGATGGATACATGGACAGGCGGTAGGTGATGGATGGTGGAGTGTGGTTCAATTATTATTGGGGAATAGAAGGGTAAGCCAGGGATAGGTGGGGGGATGGTATGTGCATAGATGGGGAAAAAGACAGATCATGGGTAGGTGGATGGAATGATAGGCAGACAGATAGAGGAGACTGGATGTTGGGATGGCTGGATGGATAAATTATTGGATGGACTGGTTTAATTGTGAGTAGAAGAATAGAATGGTTGGGTTGGTAAAAGGGAGGGTAAGTAGACAGGTAAATACTGTGATAGGTGGATAGTGGAGGTGGAAGGACAGGGTGAACAAACAGGCAAATGGCCAGATGGGGAAGTGGTTGGGTGGAACAGAGGAAGAATGGAAGAATGGGTAGTGGATGGACAGATGGATGCATGTGTGGTAGAACTATTAGAAGTATAGAGGAAAGGATGCTTGACTTTTGTAGTTAAATAGGTGAGTGAGTGAAACTATGCCACGGATGGATGGGTGGATGGATGGATGGGTGGATGGATGGATGGGTGAATTCATGGGTGAATTCATGGGTGGATGGATTGTTGATTTATGGAATGTGAATTATTGCATAGACTGACTGAACTGTGGGTAGTTGTGTGGAACAGATGGATGAACTTGAATTTTTTTTTAACTTGAATTATTGAAAGGATATATAAGTGAATGTTCAGGTAGTTGGATGAATGGGGAGGGGAGGGTGGATGAGTGGACAGATGTTTGGATATGCAGATGGACGACGGAAAGAAGGATACCTGCACCGATGTGTGGTTGATTTACTGACTGGATAGTTGAGCAGCAAGGTGCAACTTAGGGTAGTTGGATGGGTGGGGGAGCACACGGATAAAAGAACAGACAAACCAGAGGACGCAAGATGGACGAATGATGTGAGCACCCTCCATGATAGACCCTCTCTCCTCCGGGCAGAACCTCTTCCACTTCGTGACAGATGTGCAGAACAATGGTGTCGTGAAGATCCCAGACGCCAAGGGGGATGATGCCTGGAAGGTTTACTATGATGAGACAGCGCAGGAAATCGTGGACGAGTTCGCCATGCGCTATGGCGTGGAGTCCATCTACCAAGCCATGACGTGAGGCTGCAAGCAGGGTCGGACAGGGCAGAGGGGTGGCCTGTGCCGGAAGTGGGTGTGGCTGTGTGGTCCTTGGGGGCAGGGTCTTCTGTGATGGGCGTGGCTGATTCTGTGTGGTCTTTGAGGGCGATACTTGTTTGTGGGGCGTGGCCAGGACTAGAGAGGCAGAGCTACGGGTATAGATGGACAACCAACTGGCTGGGTAAAGAGATGGGGACACAGAGAAGAGTTGCACAAAGAGCAGGCGGATGGTGGGTGTGCAGGGGTACCCCTCTCGGCTGCTGCCTTAGTCGCCCTGGGGGACACACCCTCCGTCTCTCTTGCAGCCACTTCGCCTGCCTATCCTCCAAGTATATGTGCCCCGGGGTGCCTGCCGTCATGAGCACCCTGCTCGCCAACATCAACGCCTACTACGCACACACCACCGCCTCCACCAACGTGTCTGCCTCTGACCGCTTTGCCGCCTCCAACTTCGGGGTCAGTAGTGGGCCAGGCCCGCGGAGGGGGAACCCCAGCCTGGCCCCAGTTGTGGGGTGCTCGGGGTTCTGCTCCCATGGGGGGCTGCGCCACAGGTGTGGCGGGCGCCAGCCCTAGCAGCCTCCTTCCTGTCTCCTCAGAAAGAGCGCTTCGTGAAGCTCCTGGACCAGCTGCACAACTCCCTGCGGATTGACCTCTCCATGTACCGGGTGAGGCGCCCGCACACCCCGCGAAGAGCAGCACCAGAAACTGTCGCGGGGCGCATCCCAACCCGGATACGTGTTTGCTCCTCAGATGGGGAGTTGCTTCCAGATGCTCACACTCAGACCCCTCCTGCAACCTGGGGAGTCTACAGCCCCATACCCCCTTTGACCCTCCTCTGCCTCCTTTCATACCCTGCCTCCCCTAGAGGAGAGGAACCCAGGGTCGTCAAGCTGAGCTCTTCCCCAGCCCAGCACATCTCACTGAGTTACTAAGTTGCTCGCACTCGGCCCACACTTGCCACCGTCCTGCCTCAGCCTCCCACCACAAGAGGCGTGCACCACCTTGGCCACCTTTAAGCCACCTCTCCTGCCACTCCCAACAGAACAACTTTCCAGCCAGCAGCCCAGAGAGACTCCAGGACCTCAAATCCACTGTGGACCTTCTCACCAGCATCACGTTCTTCAGGATGAAGGTAGGCCGGCCGAGCCCATGAGGATGGCTTCCACCTCTTCCTGATGCATCAAACCATAAAATCACGCACACTCACGGGCACCTTGTGATGTTTAGTGCCCGTGTCTGTGTTGTGTGGTACTTAAATCAGATTAAACACATATTACCTTTTGTGGCAGTGACTGCCTTCAGAATCCTTTTCTTTTTACAGTTGTGTGTATATGTATGTGTGTGTGCATGTATGTGCATGCGTGCATGCACACACACACACACACACACACACACTTTTATTTTATCTTATTTTATTGAGACAGGATCTTGCTAAATCACCTAACTGCCCAGGCTGGACTCACACTTGTGACCCTCCTGCCTCACCCTCCCAGAATACTAGGATTATAAGCATGCGCCCCCCCACCCAGCTCTTCTAGCCACTGGCAAGGCATGTTATCCTGTTGTTACTACCATCACCACCTGTGTGACAGGGCCCCCAGAACACCTTGCTCCGTCCATTCGCAGCTTAATCACCCCCGCCCTTCTCTCCCCAGCCTCTATAGTCACCGTGTCACTCTCATCTCCACAACATCACCTGTGAAGGAGATGCTGTAGCAGGAAGTCAAAACTATAGAGATCACTAAGGTCATGATCTCTGGCTAGACGTGGTGGTGCACATGCCTATAATCCAAAAACTGAGGAGCATGAGACAGGAAGATCATGAGTCTGGGGCCAACTGGGACTCTATAGGAAGACCCTGTCTCAAGACACTAACATTCAACAAACAAAAACGCATAATGATTTCCAGTTCCATGTTCTCTCAAATGACTGGATCTCATTCTTTTTCATGGCTGAATAGTATTCCTTTGCATAGAGGTGTTGTTTTCTCTATCCATGTCCCCGCGGACGGGCATCTAGCTTGGTTCCACCCCTTGATGGTTGAGGGTGCTGCTGCAGTGGAGGTGGAGGGTGGAAGTCTCTTCAACACACTGGTTTCATTGGATCTGGGTGCAGGATGTGGATGGCAGATCATGTGGTAAATCTGTTTTAAGTGTCTTGAGACCCCACCCTACAGCTTTTCACTGTGGCTATACTAGCACATTCTCCCATCAGCTGTGTCCAGTGGTCTCCTCTCCCCCACGTCCTCCCCAGCTCTCAGTGTCTTGGATCCTTCAGGCTGTGGACATTCTTACTGCGGGGAGGTGATCTCTCTCTGTAGTTCTGAGCTCCTGCTGTGGTATCTCCTTCAGCCCAAAATGCATTCCAGGCCCACCAAACAGGGTCTCCTTCCTCCAGGTCCAAGAGCTCCAGAGCCCACCCCGAGCCAGCCAGGTGGTAAAGGACTGTGTGAAAGCCTGCCTCAACTCCACCTACGAGTACATCTTCAACAACTGCCATGAGCTGTACAGCCGAGAGTATCAGACAGACCCGGTGAGGCCCAGCCCAGCCCTTCCTGTCAGACTTTCCCACTGTGGGTCACAGGGCATTCTGTAAAGTGGGCTCATATATACCTCTCAGGCAGGGAAACATTTAGGAAGACTGACACCATGGAGAATATCCAGGTCCTTGCTTGGTGCTGGGCAGACAAGAGGCAGCTGGTCGCTGGTTCCTGGGCTGAGTTCTTGGTGTAGTCATTGTGCAAATGTTGAGTGGAATTTCTGGAACAGAATTCAGTTTTGATCATTCTGGCTGAATTTATCTGAGGTCATTCCACAGCTGTGTATCAAGCACGCATCCCAGGATGTGGGTATGATTTCAAAGGTGTCTGTAGTCTGGAAGGAGAAAAGGGTGTATACCCTGGGAATTTACAACTCAGGGTGACAAGTCCTGAGGCAGGGGCATCTCCGGACACCCTGGGAGCCCAAGGTGTCCCCACCCTAACTTCTGGAAGATGCGACACATCCACTGAAGAAAATGACCCTTGGTTCCATTCTCTTCCTTTACATTTGATTGGTTTGAGTTGAGATCAGTTGCTTGCCTGACCTGGGTTGTGGTGAGTTGTGTGACTGCACAGTGAGCTCATCACAATCCGTGTAGTTCCATGTCATTTCTTTTTGGTTGATGTCAGCTAAAATTATTCATAACAAATTAGTGATCAGAACTAAGTCAGACAAAGTCAAGTTTGAGTGTGACTCACTCATCATTGCTGTTTGTTCATTTCTGTCTGTATCCCAGATTCATTCCAGTTCTACTCAGTTTGTTTTTGACCGAGTGGAGTGAGGATTAGCTGGCTTGTTAAGCATGGTTGGTCTCCCTTGCGTTGGGCTGAGTGGGGCTCATGTCAGCAGAGCTTCAGTTACTGTCCTGGTGCTGCAACACTGTACTCCACACTCACAGCTTAGATTTAGAGGATCACAATTTTTAGGAAATTCAGTTCCTAGTCTGTGGCTCCAGTGCAGGAAGGCCATTGTCAGAGTCTGAGAGACAAAGCTAGTGGAATTGTGGCAGCTGGGAAGCAGACGGAAGGAGCTGCAGACACGAACTCACTCTCCCGGTCCCCTCCTCCAAGGGCGCTCGCGCTGAACTCTTAAGGATCTATCCATCGGTGTGTGCAGCACCCCATGACCCAGGTGCCTCCCCAGAGACCAGCCTCTGATCTGCGCTGAAACAAGTACGGAGGTTGGGCCAGTGAGCGAGCCCCACAGGCCATGCCAGCCCCACCCCAGGGCAGGCTGAGCCAGCAGCAAGATAAAATAAAATAAAACAAGTACAGAGAATATACTCATTTCCAGCTTGAAGCCCTGGCTGGCTTGAGTAGTTAAGTTGTAAGAGGAGCCTACACTGTGTAGAACTGTCGTGACAAAGCTGGGTCTGGGCCAGTCCTTAGGAATCGTTTTCCCCCACTGCCTCCTACCCGAGCCACTCGCCTGTCAACAGTGCTGCTCTTGGACCACCTTCTTACCCCTCAGTAGTGACAGGTGAGTCCTGTTCCCCCCACCAATGTCTCCACTACTCCTTTCAGGCCAAGAAGGGGGAGGTCCCGCCGGAGGAGCAGGGCCCCAGCATCAAGAACCTTGACTTCTGGTCCAAGCTCATCACCCTCATAGTATCCATTATTGAAGAGGACAAGAATTCCTACACACCCTGCCTCAACCAGTGAGTGTGGGCGGTGGGGTGATGGCCAGGGTCATCCCTCTGTGTGTGTGTGTGTGTGTGTGTGTGTGTGTGTGTGTGTGTGTGATTCTGCACACGCACAAACTTGTATATGGGAACACTTATAATCTTTTGTACTTGTGTGTGAAATTCAGATATGAGTATAATTCACAAAGATAAAAATAAAGTTGTGGGGGGCCTGGCCATAGCTCAGTTCTTTAAGTGGCTGCTTCCACAAAGCTGTCAGCCTCAGGATGCTGTAGTTCGATCCCCACAACACTCCAGCCTGCCACACCACCCCTGAGGGCATTCGGAGCAATAAATAAATAAATAAATAAATAAATAAATAAATAAATAAAGTTGTGCATACATACACAGTCATTGGTGGAGCTGAGCATGGTGGCACCCGCCTGTAATCCCAACAGTCACAAGGCTGAGGCAGGAGAATCCTTGTGAGTTCGAGACCACCCTGGGCTACAAAGTGAACTCAGGCTAGCCTGAACTGCATAGCAAGACCCTGTCTCAAAAAGACAAAAAACCCCACAATCACTGATGGAACTAAAAAAGCATTTCATACATATATCATTGTATGAGTAATCACATGTATAATTGTTGTGTGTAGGGGGCTCATAAGTAACAGCACTGTTGCTCAAATATTTTCTCTGGGCTACTCTACAAAATGTTTTATGTTTCAATTATTTTTATCTGATGTGTGGGCATGTATAATTTTATGCATGGTTGTAATCCATAGGTTTAATTGTTTTGCTCCATAGGTTTAATTGTGCATAATTGTGGAATGCACTTTAATATATAATATTACACAAGAGGTGGTGCTGTGCAGCACGCAGTGCTCTGGGTGTATGTGTGTGCAGGCATTTCGTTCATGCTTTATGCATCTGGAGTAGTCATGTGTGTTAGCTGAACGAGCTGTCGGGCTGTACTTCTGCCTGACAAGAGCACTAGAGAGACCGCTGAACTGGGGCACTAACCTTTCCTGGTGCTTAGTGATCCGAGATCTAAATAGATGGACTCAAGAGTGGAGTGCATGGGTGGATGAAAGGGCGGACCCGCGCATGGGAAGGTGAATAGATGGATAGGAGGAAGGCAGAGTATGATGGAGAGATGAACAGCTGGACGAATGGTTGGGTGAGTGAGTGGATAGAGATGGATGGATGAATGGATGGATGGACGGACAGACGGACGGACGGATGGATGGACAGATGGATGGATGGAAGGATGGATGGACAGATGGATGGATAATTGTGCAGACAGATGAATGGACAGGTAGCTATTTGGACCAGTGGCTGAGTACATGAAGGGATGAACAGATGAGTGGGTGGACAGAAGCGTGCACAGAGGCCAGGCCTCTGTGCAGCCCTCTGCACTTCAGTGACCCTGAGGGACCCTGAACGCAGGCTGACTGTCTGCCTTACGCTGCCCTCCATCCAGCTCTATCAGCTCTTTATGACCCTGACTTTTCAGGTTTCCCCAAGAGCTCAATGTGGGAAAGATCAGTGCCGAAGTGATGTGGAATCTGTTTGCCCAAGACATGAAGTATGCCATGGAGGGTGAGTCCAGTGTGGCCGGTCATCCCCCTGCCAGTGTGGCAGCTGCAGGTCACTGTGCCTCAGCACCCCTTGAAGCAGTGGCCTGGACACAGGCTGAGGCGCACGTTCTGCCCGCCAGAGCACGACAAGCACCGTCTGTGCAAGAGCGCTGACTACATGAACCTGCACTTCAAGGTCAAGTGGCTCTACAACGAGTATGTGGCAGAGCTGCCTGCCTTTAAGGACCGCGTGCCTGAGTACCCCACGTGAGTCCCCTCCCCCAGCCTGGCCTAGCCTGGCCTAAGCCAGACCTGGGTGCTGCCAGCCAGAAAGTGCCCCAGAGGAGGGCAGACCTGCTCAGGATCCCTGGCATTAGGGCACGGCTAGGACTCCAGAACAGCGTCCTTGAACCCACTCATGGGGCCGCAGACTCTGGGCCTCCAGAAAGTCATGGCCACGGTGGGCTAGCCCACACACCCTTTCTCTGGTGAGGTGAAAGGGCCACTCTGTGAAGTGAAGTGACAGTGCTATAACAGCCGTCACTTTGTGGATGAGGAAATGGAGGACTCAGTAGATCAAAGCCGCTGGATGCTGCGGTGTAGACCTCTAATCCCAGATACTGAGGAGGCTGAGACAGAGGATCCCAAGTACCAGCCCAACCCGGGCAATTTAACAACTTCATGAGACCTTGTCTCAAAATAAAAGGAAAAAGGGGGCAGGCCAGATACCTCGGCAGATTAAGCACCTGCTTAGGCAAGCACAGGGACCTGGGTTCAAGCCCCAGCACCAGATGCTGCACTACCCCCACCCCTAGGCGTGCTGAGCCTGCCACAGAGATCAGGCATGGGGGTGCACGCCTGTAATCCCAGCGCTGGGGAAGTTGAAAACAGGAGGATCACTACAAGTCTGAGCTACATAGTGAGACCCTGTACCACGTACCAAATACATAAAAAAATAAAATAAAAGGGCTAAGATGCAGATCATTGTGATGGTCCTAGGTGCTGTCTCTAGTACCCCCGACACACACATACACACACACACACACACACACACACACACACTTACACAACACCAAGTGACTGGTTCAAGTAAGGTAAGGGGGAGAACCGGGATTTGGGCCTGGGTGTCAGGCTGCCGGGCCACACCGCAGGACACGGTGGGATGGTGGCTGCCTGCTGCCCAGGACCTCATCCACCATACGGTTGTTCCTCTGTGTCTTCGGAGGTTTCCAGATGCCCTGTGGGTGGTGATATCCAAGGACACGCAGTTCTTTTCTACCAAATGGCAGGGTCTATGTAAAAGCTGCACGTCCTCTGCTCACCTAGAGTCATGCCTGGATGACGTAGAACCACTGGGAGTGCAATGCCATGTGAAGCGTCCTACTGCACAGTTTAGGGAACGATGACAAGAAGAAAGTTTCAACTAATTTAGTGTTTACAAATATTTGCAGACCACACTGAATGAACCCAAGGGTGTGGAGCCCGCAGGTATAGGGTGCCCATTACACAGGAAAGGAATTGCAGAAGGTAAACACAGTCGCCCCCAGGCATGCCCTAAGCTGGGGTGACCGCAGCACCACACTGCCTGATGAGTTTCACAGATGAAATGATCAAGGCCCAGTAGGCAGGAGCAGAGAAGAAGCCTTCCAGGGCCTGGGGGATGCAGGAGCAGGACTACCCAGTACTGAATCAGAACCAGGCCACACAGCGGTAAGAGAGACAAGGTAGCAGAGCCCCACCCCAGCTGTCTGTTTCAGGTGGTTCGAACCCTTCGTCATCCAGTGGCTGGATGAGAATGAGGAGGTGTCCCGGGACTTCCTGCACGGCGCCCTAGAACGTGACAAGAAGGACGGGGTGAGATGCTGACCCTTGACCCAGCTCCCAATTTGCCTGTCATGACCCCATTCCTGCTGGAGTCCAGTGGGGTCCAGTTTGAAGGCAAAGACTGCCCTCCAGGAGAAGCCAATCTCGGATAAGTGCCCACCATCTTGGTCTCGCTTATGGTTTTAAAGTCTGTTCATTCAACAACTGTGAAATGTGAGCTCAGCCAGCCTGACCCTCTACCTGCCAAGGGCCTCTGAGTCCACCTCCAAGTCACCCTTCACTCTCTGTACCTCGCCCTGGGGTATTGGGGGTCTGGCCATCCCCATGGAGCGCAAGCAGGATGCTGGCTCTGACTCCCGCTTCCTTCTGACTCCCCCATCGCAGTTCCAGCAGACCTCAGAGCATGCGCTATTCTCCTGCTCAGTGGTGGATGTCTTCTCCCAGCTCAACCAGAGCTTTGAGATCATCAAGAAGCTCGAGTGCCCCGACCCACAGATCGTGGGGCACTACATGAGGCGCTTTGCCAAGGTGTGGGGGTGTGGGCGGGGCTGCCAAGTTGGGGGATGTGGGTGGGGCTGCCAAGTGTGGG